AATCTCCAGAATTACTGTGAAAAATTATACACCCCCAAATAAGATAATCTAAGTTGAAGAAGTGGATAAATTCTTAGGCAGATACAACCTACCAAAACTGAATAATAAAGAGATAGAAAATCTAAACACATCAATAACAAGGAGATTGAATCAATAAACAGTCTCCTATCAAAGAAAAACTCAGGATCTGACAGCTTCATAGCTGAATTCTACCAGCATTTAAAGAATTAATACCAATTCTTCTCAAAATTTCCCAAAAAATTTAGGAAAAGGGAATACTTTCAAACTTATTTTATGAAACCAGCATTACCCTGATACCAAATTACAGGCCAAGATGCCTGATGAACATAGATGCAAAACATCTTTAATGAAACACTAGCAAAACCAAATTCAACAACACTGTAAGAGAATCATTCACCATAATCAAGTGGGATTTATCCCTAGGATGCAATAATAATTATATATATACAAATCAACAAATGTGATTCAGTACATTAATAAAATGAATAAAGACCATATGATCATCTCCATAGAGGCAGACAAAGAGTCTGACAAAAATCAATACTCTTTTATTATTAAAAACTCTCAGCAGAAGAGCTATAGCGGGAATGTAGTTCAAAACAACAAAAGTCCTAAATGACAGACCCATGGCTAAAAAACTTGACAGTAAAAAGTTGAAAGCTTTTCCTTTAAGAATTGGAACAAGACAAGGATACCCACTCTCACCACTTCTGCTTGACATAGTGCTGGAAATCCCAGCTAAAATAATTAGGCAAGAGGAAAAAAATAAAAGCATCCTAATTACAAAAGAAGAATTTGCTTGTCACATAGTCTTACAAGCCCAAATACTTTACCAAAATAATTATTATAACTGATAAATAAATTCAGCAAAATTGCAGGATACAAATTCAATATACAAAAATCAGTAGTGTTTTCATACACTAATAATACACTACCTGAAAAGGAAATTAACACCTCCATTTATGATAGCAACAACACAACAGCAACAAATAATCAGGTGTAAATTTAACTAAGATGGTGAAGGACTTGTATTTTAAAACTGTAAAATACTGATGAAAGATATTGAAGAAAATACAAATAAATAGAAAGATATTTCATGTTCATTGATTCAAAAATTAATATTATTAAAATGTTCATACTATCCAGAATGAGCTACAGTTTCAGTGAAATTGCTATCAAAATTCCAATCTCATTTTCCACAGAAATAGAAAAAAACAATTTTTAAATTTATGTGGAATAGCCAAAAGACCACAAATAGCCAAAACTATCTTAAACTAAAAGAATGAAGCTAGCAGCAACACACTAACTGACTTCAAATATATTATAAAGCAACTGTGATCAAAACAGCATGGTAAAGGCATAAAAACAAACACATCAACCAATGGAACAGATAAAAAGCCCAGAAATAAACTCACCCATTTATAGTCAATTGATTTTTTTTTTAAAGGTGCCAAGAACACTCAATGAAGAAAGGATAGTCTATTCAACAAATGGTTCTTGAAACACTGGTTATCCATGTGCAAAAGAATGAAATTAGACCCTATCTTACACAGGAACAAAAATCAGCTCTACATGGTTTAAAGAGTTACAAATGCAAAACTCGAAACTATAAAACTACTATAAGAAAACAAACAGGAAAAGTTCTATAATATTATTCTGGACAAGGGTATTTTTGGATATAACACTGAAAACTCTGGCAATGAAAGCAAAAATAGACAAATGGAATTATATCAAACTAAAAAAGAATCTTCACAGTAAAGAAACACTTGCCAAAATAAAGAACACAGAGTGGGAAAAAATATTTGGAAACCACACATCTGATAAGGTATTAATATCCAACATATATAATCAACTGAAACAGCTCAGTAGCAAAAATAATAATACTAACCCAATGAAAAATGAGCAAAGAACCTGAAAAGATGCTTCTCAAAAGAAGACATATGGATGACCAATAGGTTTATGCACAATGCTCTGCATCAGTAATCATTAGGGAAATGCAAATTAAAACCATAATGAGATATCACAGCACACCTGTTAGAATGGTTTTTTATCAAAAACATTAAAGATAATGAGTATTGGCAAATATGAGAAGGGAATCTTTGCACACTCCTGATGGAAATGTAAGTTAGTACAACCATTATGGAAAATGGTATGAAGGTTTCTCAAAAAACTAAAAACAAAACTGTATAATCCAGCAGTCCCACTCCTGGGAATATATCCAAAGGAATGGAAATCAATATGATGAAGGGACATTTCACCCCGCATTTATTGCAGCATTATTTACAATAGCCAAGACATGGAATCAATGTATGCCTCCATTAATAGAAGAATGGATAAAGAAAATATGATAAGCCTTAAAAAATAATGCAATTCTATCATTTGGGAAAATGTGGATGCATCTAAAGAACATTATGCTAAGTGACATGAGCTAGGCACACAAAGATCTCCCTTATGTATGGAACTAAAAAGGTTAAATTCACAGAAATAGAAACTACAATGATCTTTATCCAACACTGCAGTGGGTGGAATGAGGGACTAGGGAGGTGATGGTCAAAGGGTACAAAGTTTCAGCCAGCAGACAGGAGAAATAAGTTTTCAGAGCCATTGTAAAATGTGATAACTATAGTCAATAATAATGTGCTGAATATTTCAAAAGAACTAAGAGTAAGTTTCAAATGTATCACCACAAAAAAACATCAAGTGAGGTGATGTCAATTAGTTTAATTTAATCACTCCACATCATATAAATTTAAAATATCACATTGTATCCCACAAGTGTAATACAATCATAATTTGTCAGCTAAAAATAATATAAGTTACACTCTACCCAGGGCGACAGAGTGAGACTCTGTCTCAAAAATAATAATAATAATATAAGTATAAGTAAGAAAGTAAGAAAAAAGACACATTACCTATCAAGAAACAAAAAAAGGAATAGCAGCAAATTTTTCACCAAAAATGCACAAAGAAACTATCTTTTTTCACAGAGGACATGATTGCCTATGTAAAAAACAAAATAAAACTTTGAAGAGTTTGCCAAAGACTTTCAGGAACTAAATTTAGCAAGATCATCAAATACAAAACCAATATACACAAATCAATTGTATTTCTCTATATTAACAACAAAGATTCAGAAATTGAAATTTTAAAAAAGATTTATAATAACACATGCTGCTGCACTCTATCCTAGGTGACAGAATGAAACCCCCAACTTAAAATAATAAAAAACACAAGAGCAAAAAATATTTTTAAAAAATAGGGATAAATCTGACAAAGGATGGTGAGAATTGTATAGTAGAAACTACAAAGCATTTCTGAGTAAAATTTTAAAAAACTTAAGTAACTGTTCATGGACTAGAAGACATGATATTTTTAATATGTCAATTTGTCAGTTGAAAATAATATATTGATGTATAGAAAGAATGCAGTCTTAGTCAAAATCTAGCAAGCTAAAAAAAAAATAAAAAATAAATAAATAAAAATCTATCAGGCTTTTTTCTGTGGATATTGACGAGCTAGTTCTAAAATTTATATGGAAATGTAAAAGGGTCTAATACTCATATCATCCCCCTCAAATTTCTTTTGGTTTTTTGAGAGAATTGTCTCACAGTGTTGCCCAGGCTGGCCTCTAATTTTTGGGCTCAAGTGATCCTACTGCCTCAGCTTCCTGGGTCACTAGCATTACAGGTTCCACTGTTCCTGGCTAGACCCAAAAAAATTATTTGAAAATAATTTTAAGCTATAGTAATCATGACAGTGCGTAATTAGCATCCAGATAGACAAATAGACCAATGGAACAATAAAATATGGAAACAGATCCACACGTATATGACCTTTTCTTTTCTTTGTTTTGTTTTTTTGACAAAAGTGCAAAGGCTACTCAGTTTCAAAAATATATTCTTTTCAACAAATTGTGCTGGAGCGATTGGGTTCCATATGCAGACATAAACTTTGACCATATGTAGCACCAATAAAAAAATAAGCAGGCCAGGCACGGTGGCTCATGCCTGTAATCCTAACACTCTGTGAGGCCGAGGCCAGTGGATAGCTTGAGCTCAGGAGTTGGAGACCAGTCTGAACAAAAAAGAGAGACCCTGCATCTACTAAAAATAGAAAAAAACCGAGGCAAGAGGATAGCTTGAGCCTAAGAGTTGGACGTTGCTGTAAGCTATAACACCATGGCACTCTACCCAGGGTGATTCTTGAGACTCTCTCTCAAAGAAGAAAAAAAAAATAAGCAGGTGGAAAATAAGCACATGAACATTATGTCATTAGGGAAATGAACATCAAAGCCAACATAAAATAACACTATATATCCATCATAGTGCCTAAAATTAAAAAGATTCATTATACTAAAGTTAGCAAAAATGTGGCAGAATTGGAACTTTCACACCTTATGTATGGGAATGTCAACTAGTACAATTACTTGCAGAAACAATATGGCAGTGTCTTTAAAAGTCAACTATCTGCCTATTGTAAACGAATGAGAACCTGGAAGAGTCAATACTTCAAGATGGATCCTGAGTGACTAACTGGGCCCAAATCAAAAATGGAGCCAAGAGCTATTGGTTATTTTGCTGAGGTCACACACTTACTCTGAGTTCCCTGAAAACACATACCACTGTTAAACTGTGAAACTTTCAGAACTCACCTGAACCAACTCATCAGAACTCACTAGCCTTGACCAATCAGCGCCAAGCTAGTTTGAACTCATCTTTTGTATAAAAGAACTTATTTAGGAACCTGAGTGAGAATTTTCTCTACAAATGCCAAACCACCCTTGTATTCTCTGGAAAACACCTTTCTATAAGAAAAGCTAGGTCTCCACAGCTTGCAAAATGTTGAGTGTAATAAAATTTCTTTCCTCCAAAGTGCTTTTCAAAGAACTTCTAGTTCCTACTATCATATGACTCAATCATTTCACTCCCCAAGTGAAACACTTCCCATTTCACTCACCCAAGAGAAACAAAAGACTTGTATATGAATAGTCACAGCAGCTTTATTTACAATAACCCCAAACTAGAAACAATCCAAATGTTCATCAACAGAGACAACTTACACAAATACAGTATATCCAAAAATGGAATACTACCTAGCATTAACAAAGAATAGACTATTAGTACACACAACAGTACAGATGAATCTTAAAATAATTATGCTGAGTAAAAGGAGCCAGATCAGAAAGTACACGTGATGGATTTGTGTCCACTTGGCTGCTATGGACTGCCCAAGAATTCCCTGTCCTGTATGTTTTCCATTAGGATGGGCCACAAGGAAAATGCTCTTGAGACTTTAGGAGGAAGGGGGCTAGCAGCTATTTTGTAGCTGGTGCTCTGTTCTGAGAGAATAAGAGCCTTTGTTGGAAACAAAATGGGTTTACTGATGCATGTTCCTTTGGGCTCCTTAATGGCCCACTTGGCACAGGACATGAAATACTTAGGGATGAGATGTTCTCCGTTGATTCCTTCTTTTCAATGAAAAATATACAGTTTACTAAGTCACAACTTTAACACAGTTAAAAATTTTGACTGATAACAATAGAACCCTACGAAATAGGTTAGCATTATTTCTACAATGGTATTATTTTCCTGTTCAGCTGAACAAACTTTCATTCATCATATTCTATAGACATTAGGAATAAAGACAAATTAGACCCAAGCCCTGTCTTGAGGGTCTCACAATCCTGTGAAAAGCAAGACAGGTTACTTTACTATAATACATGCTAGGGCAAGAGGGTCCTATGGAAGCTTTTCTGGGGACACGGGCCCCAAATCAGGGAAAACTTCCCAGGAAAGGTGTGCTCAGTCTTAGTTGACTTTGCTTAGGGGTCCTAGCTAGGAGACAAGCTCCTGTCCAGGCCTGGGCCTTGGGGAGCAACCTACATAAATAGCTACATAAAATTATTTACACTTTCCCTAATAAGTATTCAGTTTAAAAATTTTGTCGAGGCCCAGATAGCCATGTGCCCTTCACCACTCTCTCTAACCCTGACCCAGGGGACTGTGCCCTAGCTGGTGAGTTATAGAAGGAGCTGGGGAAGGCATTAGATTAGATTGCTAAGGCTGCAAACTGCAAAACACTTCAAACTTCACAGCTCGCTCATGGATCTGGAAGCCAGAACTGAGATCTGGGTGCCAGAGGGGCGGTCCCTCCCACCCTCTCCAGCCTCAGGGGGTGTGCTGGTGTCTCTGGAGGCTTGCAGAAGCCTTGCCCCATCTCTGCCTTCACATCACATGGCATTCTCCCGTGTGCAAGTCTGCCTCCAAATTGCCCCTTTCTATAAGGACACCAATGAGATGGGGTCAGGAGCTGGCTGTACACTACTATGACCTCATCTTAACATCAGCAATGTCTTGATTTCCAAATAAGGTCATATACTGAGGTAGCAGGTGTTAGGAATTCTATCTATGATTTCTGGGTGGGCACAATTCAACCCACTGTGACCGATGCCCTCATTTCCTAGGTCCCATTTAGACATTTTCCTGCCCATTCCTTCTTCTGCTCTTAATGAGGAAATATTGGCCTTTACCCTCCTTCTTCCCACCAGGCACACTGCCCATGCTCAAGTTTCCCCCCAATATAGGTGCTTGTTTAGAAATTCCAGAGACTGAGTCTCAAAACAAGCCAGATCCCCACCAGGAAATGACCTCAAAGGCCACAATTAATCTATAGATAAACAGCTTCCAAGATGGCCCAGCCACCCACTCACTGTGGGGGACAAATAATTCAAGATAGGGGTGGTGCCTATGGCTCAAAGGAGTAGGGTGCTGGCCCCATAAACCGGAGGTGGCGGGTTCAAACCCAGCCCCAGCCAAAAACTGCAAAAAATAAAAATAAAAATAAAAATAATTCAAGATAGTCATGGAGACAATCCACACTGACCCGCACACCTCCTAGCCATTCCTGCATTCCCTGTGTACCAAATTCTGTTTTTAAGCCCCCATCATCAGTTCAAGACTTCAAAATGGTTTCTCTGAGGCAGGAGTCTTGGCCATTTCTCCACTGCCAGCTCTGGAATAAAGTGACTCTCATCACACCTCATCCTTGCTACTGGCTTTTGCAAGCAGCAAGCAGCCAGGCCTGCACTTGACTATAGCATAATGATTGTATGATGGGTGGGAAAAGGAATCATCCTCTCTCCCCTAACTCACGCTCCACCTCAGACTTTTTACCCAGACATTTCGCTAGTCTTGTGGAACATCATTCTTTTAAGAACTTTAGAGTTCTAGAAACCATTCTGCTTTCTACCCCACTGCATCCGTTCTTGGACGTATTGGATGAGCAATAGCTTAGTCATTTGCATCTAGGCAAGAACAATAAAGCAGTCCATATTTCAAAGAGGCTGTCTTTCCAAATAAGTAAGCATTCCTTCTCCTGGAGCACTGAAGAGAAACTCTAGGACCAGAGCAGCTAGCAGAGGAGAACTGAGGGATTTAGGGACACGGTTGTGTCCTCTTTGGAGATAAGATTGGCAATCAGCAATCATTCCCTCAGCAAGTAAGACGAGAGGAGGCATCTTTAAGAAAAATACATTTATTTCAAACTTTTAATCTTTGAATAATTCAGAATTAGCTTAGGCATGTTTCAGAAGTTTCTGAGACTAACGTCTCAAAAACCAACAGCAATAGCTTATTTGAGTCATAAAAGGATCAGAAAGGACCCGATGATACAGGATGAGGAGATGGCTATTGAAGAAGATGGAACCTCATCCAGAGGGAGGCAGCATTCAGCTGTAATTTATAAATTACCTGTCACTAATACTGAACCTCTCACAGAACAGCAATAATACCCACATGTTCTCACATTTTACCAAAGTTTCTATTTTCTACTTTCTATACCCATAGAAAGCTAGACTTCAGAATCATATTTAACTTGTTTGCTTATATTAATAATAATAATAAACTAGATTCTACCCAGTGTAGTCTCAACATGAATCCCACTGTCCTATCTCATCAATGTTCATGAGTCAAAGATCATGACTGCACCAACTCAGGACACGAAGCAAGCCAGGAATTCATCGGCCCTTCCCATATAGCGGCTAGGCAGCCCAGTGCTCTGACCATTCCCAAGCTAGGGGGTGGGAAACTTGAGGCCTCATTATGAAGGGATTTGCTCTATGAAGTGTGGATTCAGTAGAGGGGCTACACTTGGGGATCTGGGGGTCCACACATGGCCTTAAGGATGCAGGTTTGCCACACCTCCGGGTGTTTCAAGTGGGGTAGTTGTTGTCTCCCTGAGGACAGGACCCCCCTCTGCACCAGCCTCCCTTATAGCAGGGCCCAGCCCAGGTGTGAGCACAAAGCAGGTCATTAAAGGAAGGAAATCTGCATGTACTGAGCACCAACTGTGTGCCAGGCACAGAGCTAGGACAGGTGCTTTAATGTATTTCTCACAACAGCCCTGTGAGGTCAGATCATCACCCTATTTTATAGATGTGGACGTAGAGGCTCGGGGGAGAGAATTTGCCCTACTTACAGCTAGTAAGTAGGGGAGCATCAACTTGAAAACTTAGGTCTTCTCACTCCAGGGCTCTTTCTACGGCCTACACAAGCCAAGGGTCTGGCAGCAAATGAGTGTCCCAGCTCTGGGTCGGTTGGTGTAGAGATGAAACATTAGATCCCCTTTGCCATGTGGGGCCAGCCTGAACCCAGAGGCCTAGGTCTAAGAGCCCTCGCTCTACAGAACTACTCTGTGACCTTGAGCAAGTCATTTAACCTCTCCACTCTGGTGGACCAGTCCAGTGACGTTCCTACCAGGGGAAGGGGACTTAGCAAAGCCATCTGGGGAGCATGTTGGCAAACACAGTGGGCTAGCCTCCACCTGGAGACTCTGATGCTGTCTCCCTGCAGAGAAGGGATAGAGAGCATAGTGAGCCGGTATCACGTCTGGTGAGAATCTGTTTCCACCTCCAAGGCTCTGACCTCTGAGAGTGACGTAAATCCTAAGCAGCCACACCCCCACTTCTGGGAGACACCTTCCCTAGAAGGCCCCAGAGGTCAGAGAAATTGGAATCCAGATAGTTTTAGAGCAGACAATGCCTAAAAGTTATTTGGGAGGGGAAGACTACTTTAAAACTTTAAAAGAGGAGGAAAAAGATGGTGGAGGAGATTCTGAGTTAGGCATTAAGACGGAGAGCCGAGTGCACTGCAAACCCAGCTGGGAGGACAGGGTCAACCTAGGCCACACCTGAGAAATCTGGTTTGGGGAGCCTGGCTGTGGGGCTACACTGACCACCTCAGAATTAGGTGGGGGCTTCATCAAAAGTATCTTATGCCTCTAAGTTCAGGCAAGTTTTTGAGAATAGAGGAAGAAAGAAAAACATGACACAAATGGCTCAGACAAAATCTGCTTGCTGTGTTTCTCCTCCTCTGAGACCACTCCACTGGCCCCAGCTCTGTGAAGCCTCCTACAAACCACAGATACAGCAGGTGTGTGGCCCTCTAGGGTATATGGACAACAAACCCCCTCTTCTACAAGCCCTCTGGGCACCGAACACTCTGAATCCCAACTACCTGTGTAGATGTTTGCCTCTCCCACTGAACTTGAAGACACAGCTGTATCTTTCTGTACCTTCCATCTCCACATGGAGAGAGAAAGTGGGCTAATCAAGACCCTCTGCTCATAAGAGCTCAGGCTAAGGACCAGCCCAACCAGCCTCAGTGATAGGAACATGTCCCAAGAGCAGGGACCTTGACAGCAGCTTCATTCTAGAGGGATGGAGCCTATTTGCAATGTCCTGTGCACTAACTTGCCTGCCACAGCTACCTTGCATGAGGCATGATCATAATTTGGGAGAGTTTTTATCAATATGATATGCATATCAATATCTAGGTACAGATTTCACACAATATAGAGCATTAGTTTGTGCAAATGGCATCATTCAGTTGGGAAAAACCAAGCCCAGCGTTGGCAGCCCTGGTGAGAAAGGTGGATCTTGCATCCGTCTGTGCGGAAGGTGGAGAGAATGCTGTCTGGAAAGCATGCCGAGTGTGTGTACACGGGTGTGGAAGGGTCTCTGGGATCACACACTTTCTGTGGCTTTAGGGAAGGCTAAGCCTGGTTCCTTGCTTCAGGCTCCTGCAGCTCCAGAGCTCTTGCTGACAGGAGCCCACAGAGTGTGAGGAGCAGGCCGGCATTGCTTGGGAAAATGGTCTTCCAAGGCTGGAGTATCTGAGAGATCAGCCGTAAGATGCTTGATGGAGAAGAGTAAAAGGCCTGGTTGGGGGCCGTGTTCAGCAGCGAATGGTCCTGAAGCCTGGCAGTGTGGCTTTTCCAAGCAGGTAAATGTCCTCATCTGTGCCCTGGTTAAGATGCTTCACCAAATTCTTCTCAAAGAGCAGTGGGTGGTAGGCGCCCATGGTGCAGGCGCTGTCAAAGAACTTCTGGTAGTAGTAGCAGATGTCAGTCCTGCGCTTGGATGGGAGGAACTCATAAATATCCACCTGATCACAGACTGTCATCATGATGATGATACCTGGAGAGGGGAGCAGAGGTAAGTCATGCACAACAACCCACCCCAGTGCCCTGAGCTCTGCCTAGTGGGCCCAGCAGCTCAAGACCCCAAATGCGGAGACATGTCCATCTGGAGTTCCTATTTATTACTGTACTGCCAAATCTGAGTTTTTTGGCAGTTAAGCCCAGCAGAGTTTTCCTGAGGATGCAGCCCAAGTGAACCCTAGACACCTTTGTATCCCCAGCTCCTAAGGTAGGGCCTGAAGAATAAGAGGTCTGCCCTAAATGCTAGTAGAGTAAGGGACTCCATCAATCAGCCAACGAGTGTATCAGCAGGATAAGCTATACATTATAAGCTTACTTCTTAGAAGTAAGAGGACAAGATGACTGAGCCAATCGAGGCGATGATGACAGCAGGTGTAGTTGGCACTTTCTAGCACTTTTGCATCCTGAAGTGACTCTTGGATCATGCAATTAGAGGTAAGGTTGTTCCCTGTACAGTACTTGCAGGGAATATTGTAGGGGAGGAAAGACTTTTCTTCCCTAACTAGGACAGACAATTGGAACAGGAGCACCCTATGCACTGTTCTGATGGACTCAACTCACTCAGACGGGGAGGTTGGAGTCTAAGAGATGTGACTCAGGTTGGGGCTCTGCAGGGAGGTTATGCAGAACTCTAGGATGCAAGTTCAGCCAAAAGGCAGAAGACTCGTGCTACCCTCACTCTCGTCCCCAAATGGTTGAGGCATCTTGTGCAGAACACATTCCCTGTCTGGGCCCCAGGCTCTTCATTTGACCCAAAAGCATGATCTACCCAATCCTCCTACTATGTGGCTTATTGTTAGCATTAAATAAGATCGTGGTTCTAAGAGCTTTTATGTACACCATAAATACTGTCTAGGAACTCTTAAAGATGGAGCAGTTCTCACTGAGAGCAAAACTGTAAACTGTAGCAGCAACTTTGCTCTGGAAGAATCAGATATGAGAAAAACCCTATCTCTGCCTTCTCAATGAAAAACCCTATCTCTGCCTTCTCATTGTCCCTGACTCAATCATGAAACAAAGACAGCTCTGTAGCTGACTGATATGAGCATAGCAGAACTGCTTCTGGGAATTGGGAGGGGCCACATCCTATGGAGAGAGCCCAAGTAAACCTCCGCAAAGCACAGGTGTGGGGATATGGAAGGGGCAGTGGCCACTAGTGGTGGAGATGACAGCATGGGCAACAGGAAGAAGTGTTCCTCAGGATTCCAACCACTCCTGCACTAAAGGTGTCTAGGAAAATCCCCAATGCACCTCCCAGAAGTTATAGAAAAAGGTTTGAAGAAGACATGATACCATAAGAAGCCTAATCTCCTTCTGTAAAGAGCGCCCCTGACAGTGATTTATTCAGGCAACATTCACAAAGGGCTACCCCATGTGGGAACCACAGATAAGACAAACACAGGCCCACCCTGAAAGAGTCTACCATCTAGGTAGGGGAAGTAGGCAGACAAATTACACAACGGCAAGTGGCTGAGGCCACTGTCCTGGGAGTAAAGGAGAAACTATAGTTAATTGATGCCTCGGCCTGGTCAAGACTGACCAGATAGACAAGCGATCCTTCTGTGGAGTGCTGGTTTAACCCCAGCTTAGTGCCAAACTGCCTGACTGTCCTTGCCATTGAGTTGTTTTAAATATCCAAGGGAAAATAACCCCATGTAGGCTGGGCAGAGTGGCTCACACCTATAATCCTAGCACTCTGAGAGGCTCAGGCAGGAGGATCACTTGAGATCTGGAGTTGGAGACCAGCCTGATCAAGAGTGAAACCCTGTTTCTACTTAAAATAGAAAAATTAGCCAGGTATCATGGCAGGTGCCTGTAGCCCCAGCAACTGGGGAGGCTGAGGCAGGAGGATCACTTGAGCCCAGGAGTTTGAGATTGCTGTAAGCTAGGCTGACGCCACAGCACTCAAGGCTGGGCAACAGACTGATGCTCTGAAGAAAGAAAAAGAGAAAAACCTCATTTACCCAGGTGACCCTTAGGTCAGGGAAACCCTCTCCTACATATCTGCATTGCTGTTATACACCAGACCTGGGACAGAGGCTGCTCTCCATCCCTCTCTAACTGTCCTATGTAGCTTGAGGATTTAGAAGAATAAGAACCTCTTACACATTGACATTGTGGTTTTCTCATAAGAGCTGGAGCTCATGATCCTATGGCTAATGGCCAGGCCACCCCTAAGGAAACCATGCAAGGGGACCCCTGGTAGTGCTCTTATGTCTGGGCCTCTGGTGCCTGCTGGGGACAGCAGCTACCAGCTAAGTTAATACAGAAACTTAAAGAGTTTCATTCAAAACTCCCATCTGGTGGGAAAGGGGTCTGCTGGGGGCAAGTCGGGGGACTATGTGCACATATGGATCCTGGAGCCTCAGGAAATCTGCATCGTGGTCCTGACCAACTCTAAGGGAATGGGAGGGAAGGGCCGACATGCCATGATGGGAGGAGAAAGTCTAAGAAGAATGCACCGGCCAGCATTCAGGCCTCTCTGTCCTCTGTCCCCCTCGCTGGCTCCACATCTCCACACACGCCCCAAACCTAGGTGGGCTTCACTGCTCATTCTTCTCCAGGGCAGTTACTGGGATGGACAAAGAAACACAGATTCCAACATAACTCTGCACAGCAATGTTGATACTCCCATCTTTGTTTAAATACTTGAACTTTTTTCATCATAACTTTTGCATTAATTGTAATTTGTAAAAGTACAGTACTAAAATATTACTTGTCCTGACCAGGTGCAGTGGCTCATGCCTATAATCCCAGCACTTTGGGAAGCCAGTGTGGGAGGATCACTTGAAGCCGGGAGTTCTAGATCAGCCTGGGCAAGATGGTGTGATCTGCCATCTCTACAAATTTTAAAAAATTAGCTGGGCATGGTGGTGTGCACCTGGAGTCCCAGCTTCTTGGGAGGCTCAGGTGAAAAGATTGCTTGAGCCCAGGAGTTCAAGACTGCAATGAGCTATGACTGTACTATTGAACTTCAGCCTGGGCACCAGAATAAGACCCTTATCTCAAAATAACAACAACAACAATAATAATAAAATAAAAACTTATCTGTATCTTACTGAGTTTCAGGGGACCCCCTTAAATTGTATACCTGGGACAAGTGCTTTGCTTGCCTCTCCTTAGGCCCAGCCTCACTCACTCCTGTGTCCTGCCTCCCCTCCGCTTGTGTGCTAACCTTTCCTCCTGCTCCACTTGCCAATCTTCCCTTCCCTAAGGCCAAGCCAAAGCTACTGCCTCCATGCAGCTATCTTTGACTGTCCAGCTAGAAAGCATCCTCTCCTCTGTGGCACCGGTGGTCTCACCTTCCTGAAAGAAATTGAATATTGTCTCAGACATCCATTTTCTCCCTGACTTGAAACCCTAAAGGAGAAGAATTATATCTTATTTATCTCTGTTGACAGAACTCAGCAAGTTGTAGAAGCAGGGCAAAGTCCAGCATTTGTTCCGTGAACAAATGAACAAATGAATGTGTGAACGAGACCCCCAGAGGAAAGTTAATCTCTTCTTAGAAACAAATTCTTGAGGTTTTCTTCATGCACAGACTCACCGAGCATCCCGGAAGATGGTGGGTTTGGCTGAATCTTTTCTGGGGAGACTTCTTGGAGGATGTCCCACAGCTCCCACGGCATCTGGGGCTTGAGGATGTAAAAGGGCTGATTGGGGTGCAGCTTACGATAGCTCTTGTAGTTATCAAAGAAATTATAATCCGGATTCTGATACCACTGAAAAAGAAGGAAGTGATCTTTTCAAGGGAAAAATGTGCCAGTGGCAGTGCTCCCTCCGGGCAACTACCCTCATGGCAGGACCCAGGGAGGAGAACAGTCCAGGCAGGTCCCGAGGCACAGCCCTTTCCTGGGAGCAGATTACAGCCTTCTCCCCCACGTCATAGCTCTCAGTGGACAGCAGGGTGGAGCCTAGCACACAGCCTGTGCCTATGGGGAATGCTAAGCTAGCTGACCCTGGACCAGCTTCAGACTTCAGGATCACAGACTCTGGGAATAGTATCAGAGCTGAAGGGGGTTCTAAGGCACCAACTAACCCCTTCTTTCATTTCTAAAGGGGAGAAAACTGGGACATAGGTTGCCACATCTATTAGTTCAGAGTCCCTCTCCTAAGTCAACCAAATTTAAGTTATTAGTGAGAGGCTGGATGTGGTAGCTCACACCTATAATCCTAGCACTCTGGAAAGCCAAGGCTGGTGGATTGCTTGAGCTCAGGAGTTCAAGACCAGCCTGAGCAAGAGCAAGACCCTTATCTCTACTAAAAATAGAAAAAACTAGTTGGAAATGGTCGTGGGGGCCTGTAGTCCCAGCTACTCAGGAGACTGAGGCAGGAGGATCACTTGAGCCCTGGAGTTTGAGGTTGCTGTGAGGTATGTTGGATGCTATGGCACTCTACCCAGGGCAACTGAGTGAGAGTCTGTCTCAAAGAAAAAAGAACAAAAAATTGGTAAGTGAGATCAGTGCAAAACTGTAGAAACCGAGGTAGTCAGAGTGCAAGGGATCACCAGAGCCTGTCAACTACTGGTGGATCCAAAGTAAGAATTAAGTGTCCCAAGAAGTGTGCTCTCTGCCTTTCTTCCTTAAAGCCATTCTCCTGAGGCCACTGCAGCCCACACCAGGGTGCAGCCAACTGACAAGGCAGAGAGGGCTATTCCAGGCCCTGGGGTCCAGCAGGCCTGTGGCTCATGTCTCCTTCCCTGAAAGAGTGGGGGTTGCAGATCAGCACCCTCTGCTGAGTAAATCAAGCCCTGGGACAGGTGACTTCTACTCTCCACATTCCCCTTTTCTCATCTGTAAAATGGGAACAACCATGCTTTCATCTACTTCCTCAGATTGTTATGAACATGACATGGGAAGAATTTCGAAAATTACAAGTATGGACAAAAGTGTGGTAATATTTTTATAGGTATAACAGTAACCTCTATATATAACAGTAATCTATTCCTCACCAGAAATAACTGCACAAGGGAACACAATCTACCCAGACAATGAGCAATCCAGCCACTGTTACTCCCAGGACACACTATAACTGGGAGACAAATGGATGGCAGTGCAGGGCAGAGCATGGCAAGGAGCTGGCCTAGGAGAGAAGTCCTTCTGAGTCTGCCCAGCCAGAGGAAGTAGGATGCCCTCAAACACAAGCAGTCAACCCTCAGGGAAGGCCCAGCTCAGCCATGACTTGAAAAACCTAGGAACTCAGTAAAATCTGCAGGCAAGCTAGACAGCCCACCCCTGTTTCCCATGGATGCCTCTTACCTTTGGGATATCTGAATGGTACACAGATGGGTCCCACACAATCAGGATGCCTTCATTGTACAAACTGTCTTTGAGGAAGCGCTTTTCTGTGCTGACCAACTGCAAGAAGAAAGTGGCAAACTGACTTGGACGTCGGCACATGTTTGCCATGAAGTAGAAACTAATGGCACAGAGACCTCCCGAGGCCCCACAGCCCCCAGGACCCTTTGAAGTTCTGGCCCATCACTAAGTTCAGTGAGAAGAAAGTGAAGGCGTCAGCCTGAACTGAAGGGACATTTATCACAAGCTGTCATCCATAGAGCAGGAAGAGTTTCACTCGGACTTTGAGATTATTTGAACAAGAAACAGTGAAAGTAGCACCGTGTCCTAGTCCCTTGGAGTCACCCTGTGTGGGTATCAGGGTTTTATGTCAGAACTTCATATAATCAAAATTAATCTCTGGAAATCCTTGCAATCACCCATAAAATCAAAGTATGTACACATCATGATGCAGATTGACATATTATCTCTCACAAGGTCCAATGTAGCTGGTGGTTTTCGCAACCCTAGAACAGATGGCCATGCTGCAGTTGAGCAGGAGATGAAGTATTCAGTTTGTGCGGAGGGGCCACAGGGCATGCGAAAATATGCATCTTCCAACAGAAGGAGAGGGGCTCACATGCCACGGCTGGGGCAACCAGGCAAAGCCTCTCCCTCAACACTGGCTCCTGGGCTGGCCTGCAAGCTGCTAGTTATACCTGCCTGGCTGAAGCATGAGTGTCACAATTCTGCAAAATCCACTGAGTCTTTTTTTCAAGAAGCATATTTATCCTCTTTGACTCAAAAATTCCATGTTTGGGAATCTATCCTAAGAAAGAGTCCAAGTTCAGGGGAAAAATTTATGCATAGACATGTTAATTAAATTATCTATCAAAATAAGAAAAGTGCAGTAGAAGGCAAAAGATACTGGCCTTGGGTATGGAAAGATCCAGGCTCAAGTCTTGGCTTTGCCACCAACTTAGTCTGGGACCAGGAGCAAGTCGGGTAATCTCATTAGAACTTCACTTTCTTATTTGTGAAATGAGAACACCACACTTGCTTGGCTCTCTCAGATAGGAGCTGTCTTGAGGGTCAGAGAACATGAATGAAAGAAAAAGAGAGAAAAATAGCCCCAAAGGCTTAACAATGAAGGGAACCATGTCCATCTTAAGAAAGCCAAGACTGATATAGGAGAGCAGCTGTCAGACCTTAAAAAGCAGGTGTGCAGTGATGTTGCCCAGGTGAAACTGAGAGAAACAAATGGCAGAAATCAAGAGATGACTGAAAATGAAAGAAAAATCACAATAATCCCTTCCCACCTCACTCTCCAGCACCAAGGCTGACACCTAATCAGTATCTCTGCAGTATCTGAAATCAACTATGGAAAGGGAGACAGTCTGTGCAGCCCATAGGCCAGCAATTTGCCTCTAAGACCAGAAAGCTAGCCCCGTCCCCATCCCTGCTTACAGATGTAGGAAGTTTCTGGAAGCCTGCAGAATATACTCTCATTTCTTATTTAAGGAAAGAAACAGTGGTGGTGGGCTGCCTCGGCCAGAGATTGTGCAGCTATACTGGGTGCTAAAGAGCCAGAGGCAGGACACAGTCCCTGCCCTCCAGGAGACCATAGGCTAGTGGGGAAGGGGACAATTAGACAATGACTGATGACTGTGACAGTGTAGCAGCAGAGTTGGCATGAGGACAGCCAGTGAGTGAGTGAGAAGGGACAGATAAGAAGATCAGGGAGAGAGGATTTCCCAGACAAAGGGAAGAGTGTAAGTCCCTGGATGGGAGTGTGTGGGAGACGTTGCTAGATGTCACCCAGTATCTATTCTCTCTTTCTTCCTTGATAACAAACACTTCTGATTTTTACCTCAGCCCATGGCTACCTAAAATAGACTATCTGAAATAAAAATTTCTCAGCCTCCCTCAGCAATAAATATGGCTGCATTAAGCAATTCAGACCAATGATGGGTAAGCAAGTGTGACCTCCAGGAAGTGTCCCTAGAGGCAGGGGCATGCCCTTCCACGTTCCTTCCTCCTTCCTGCTGACGGAAACATGGATGTGAAGGCTGGGCTCGGGCAGTCATCTTAGACCCTAAAGTCAAAGTCTCATGCCGAGAATGGCAAACCCACAAAGTAGAAGGAACCTGGATTCTGACACCGTGGAATGCCGTACCAGCTCCAGAATGTTCACCGATGGACTTGTACATGACAGAGAAATACATTGCTGTCTGTCAAGGTCGAGTGGGGGCAATGCGCAGAGTGTTCCTGTCACTTGTAGGGACAACTAGGACAGTGAGTAGCTTGTTTGGAAATTTCAAGTTGGGGCCTGGCGAGGACACAGACTAGGAGAGCTGGAAGGGACCACAGAAGTGTAGCGAGGACCCTTGCCAGGGAGCTTGGGTTTCTTTAGTAGGTTACAGGGACCACTGAAGGATTTTAAGTAAGGGGGATCAGTTTTGGATGTGTGTTTTTAAAGAAAAGAAGACAAGATAGAAACTCTGGCCTTAGCCTAAGTGAGAAATAATGAAAGAAGAAAGAGTTTTTATACAATCGTCAGTAGGAGACTTGCAGACTAATTGGATGTTCAAAGAGAAGGAAGAGGGGATCAAAGGAGATTCCCAGATCTCAGGCCATTTCCATAAAAACATGAACAAAAGAAAAACTGGTACACGCCTATGGGAGTGAGGTGCCGTGGGGATGTGAAGTTCAAGCATGAGACTACTGGCCTAGAGTCCCACAGCTGAGAGGTCACAAGATCTAGGAATGGAACCCAAGTCTTCTACCTTTAAAGCATTGTCATCTCTCCATTGGGAATGCTGTAACTCACAACACCGGCATTCAGTGCTGTAGTCAAAAGGCCAATCTGGCTTTCTGGTAGACTAGGCTTTGCAAAATAGACTTGATCAAGAAGCCCCACACACAGAAGGCCTTTCCTTCCACTATTCTACACAGTCTCTTCTGAGACTGAATCCTGCACTTGTACTCCCCATCCCTATCCTACCCTACTCCCACCGAAACAGCTAGCATATTAAAAGCAATCCGCCTTTTCTTAGCTATGCTTCTTTCTATGCAGAGTACTGATGCTAGGTGACTCACACATACTCATGAGTATTAACAATAACTAGGATTTTTTAAAATGTCTTCTGCTATGGCCCCTGTCCAGCAATTTTCTTAGTATGCAAAGCAGGAACTTAACAACTTATGACTCCCTGAAACTTTCCCAGCTGTGACTTAACTGTCCTCAGAAATTCCAAAGGAGATGCATACAGCTTTATTCTATACAGTAAATAGTAACAATGACAACAGCAGATGTCATTTAAAGATGCTTACTCCATGCTAGGTACTTTGGTATATCACCCCAGCTCATCTTCATAACTGCCCTAGGAAGTAAGTGCTAATAGACCCATTTCTTTTCTTTTCTTTTTTTGAGACAGAGCCTCAAGCTGTCACCTTGGGTAGAGTGCTCTGGCATCACAGCTCACAGCAACCTCCAACTCCTGGGCTCAAGTGATTCTCTTGTCTCCACCTCCCAAGCAGCTGGGACCACAGGTGCTCACAACGCCTGGCTAGTTTTTGGTTGCAGCCGTCATTGTTCTTTGGCGGGCTGGGCTAGATTCGAACCAGCCAGTTAAGGTGTATGTGGCTGGTGCCTTAGCCACTTGAGCCACAGGCGTCGAGCCAATATGCCCATTTCATAAATAAAAAAATACAGACTTAGAGATGCTAAGTAAGTTCCCCAAGTTACACAGACAAGAGGTGACAGAGTCTGGATTTGAGCCCTAAGTCTGGCTCTAGGGCAACATTGTCATACCACCCCACACAAAGCGGGTACCATGGCTCCTGGGGAGAGATGTCAGGGAGCCTCGAAGGAGCACGGGGGTGTCATGTTTGCTTCATGTCTGAGTCGTAGCGTGTCACAGCTGAAAGATCCTCGAGGGACTGAATCCAAACCTATTATTTTCTCGATGAGTAAACTGAGTCCCAGAGAGAAGAGAGAACTATCTGAGGCTCCAAGGTGAGTTTGGGGTGGAGCCAGGACCAGAGGCTCTGACAGGGTGTCCTGGCTGCCCCAGCAGGACTATACCCATAAAACCACCAGGCATGTCAGTAATCCCATTGCAAGGATCGGGGAGCCCTCAGAGCGCAATGGGAAAGGGTCACTCACTTGAACTACTGGAGCTGAATGAAAAAACAATCCATGAAACTAGCAAGAGGTGAAGATAAAGAACATTTTATCCAGAGAGGAGAAATGGAAAGTGGCCAGGGCTGGGATCTGCAGAGGGAGAAGGGGGAAGCTGGCAAGCACCCTCCCCTGTGACCTTAAATGGACATGGCTTTGCACTTACCCACATTAATTCTCATCATGTGAGTTCAAAGATATCATAAGAAAAGATTGCCTCAAGATGGCTTGGGGAGTTGGGCACCTGGGTCCCAGCCCTGCTCCTTGTCCAGCTCCTTCTATGGTTTGAGGTGGGCCACCTCCCAGGCCCCAGTCTCAGGTGCCTGATATGCAGGGATCATCACCCTGCAACCCCTGCCCAGGAGCTAGGGGTCAGCCAAGCCTGGAAGAATAAAGCCCTTCTCAAACTCCTGTGCTTACCTTCGCGGGGAGTGTGACCTACGTTTGGAGATCTTGATGGGGAGGAGGCCCTCACAGTAAGAATAAGTCATTGCCAGAGCCACAGAGCCCAGGGAACATCTGTCAAAAAAAAAGCCTACACCATGGAGATGGAGTGTTGCAGTTTTATTTGTCTATTTATTATCATGATCATCATTATTATTATTTTGAACAGAGTTTATGCTGTTGCCTAGGCTAGAGTGCCGTGGCATCAGCCTAGCTCGCAACAACCTCAAACTCCTGGGCTCAAGCAATCCACCTGCCTCGGCCTCCAGAGTAGCTGAGACTATAAGTGTCCACCACAACACCTGGCTGATTTTTCTATTTTTATTAGAGAAGGGGTATTGCTTCATTGAGTCTTGTCTGGAGTTCCTGACCCAGAGAGATCCTCCCTTCTCAGCCTCCCAGAGTGCCCTGAGCCACCTAACCTAGCTGAGTGTTGCTGTTTTAAAAATTGTTT